TGCTCCGGGCCCGAATGGGAGCAGATCTTCTTGGCCAGGCTCTGCAGGTAGGCGTCTTTGGCGAGTAGAGAGGCCATGGCGGAGACCCGGGCCGTTCACGACTCACACCTTCCCCGCGGCGCGTGCGACTCTCACCACGTCCGCCGGAAACCAACACACGGGCAGGCGCCGCCAGACGAGCGCCGAGCCGCCAGCCCGCGTGCTCGATTAGTCAGGCCTGATTCCGCCGGAAGCGGCGCGCGGGGCGGGGCGCACAGCATTGTGGGCCGAGGGCAGCCAATCTCCGCCGGGAGTCGGTGCAGCCGGGGACCCCGAGGCAGGGCAGCAGCGCCTCCATCACCCGGGTCCCGCACGTGTCCCTGCGCTCCCCTCACCCCCACAGCCGGCACAGCAGGCGCTCATGAGTAGGGGCGAAATGAGGGAATGACCAGCAGTGCATTCATTCAGTCCTTTGGAGTGGGGGCCTCCGGTCTCAGGCGGACGCAGACTGAGCGCCTGGCACGTGGCAGGCCCTAGCTTCAGTCCTAGGGGACACAAGCAGCGTGTCACACACACAGATGTGCTCTTGGCGAGGGTCTGCCGTAGAGGTGACTGATAAACCTGGCAAGCGTGTGGCTGTCAGGTGAGGGCAGCGCCAAAGAAAGCCCCAGGGTGAAAAGGGAGAAGTGTTGGGCGGGAGGGAGCCGGCGTGTTCGAGGAAGAGCCCCTGCGCGGTGACTTTTGCTCTGAAAAATAGACTTACACGCTACGATCTTCCCTCCGCCCCGGGAAAGGAGTCTCGCTCTGTCGCTCAGGCTGGAGTGAAGTGGCGAGATCTCGGCTCACTGCAAACTCCGCCTCCCGGGTTCAAGCAATTCTCTGGCCTCAGCCTCCCCAGTAGCTGGGATTACGGGCGTGTATCACCACGCCCAGCTAATTTTTTTTTTTGAGACGGAGTCTGGCTCTGTCGCCCAGGCTGGAGTGCAGTGGCCGGATCTCGGCTCACTGCAAGCTGTGCCTCCCGGGTTCACGCCATTCTCCTGCCTCAGCCTCCCAAGTAGCTGGGACTACAGGCGCCGCCACCACGCCCGGCTAATTTTTTGTGTTTTTTAGTAGAGACGGGGTTTCACCGTGTTACTCAGGATGGTCTCGATCTCCTGACCTCGTGATCCGCCCGCCTCGACGTCTCAAAGTGCTGGGATTACAGACGTGAGCCACCGCGCCAGGCCTAATTTTTGTATTTTTAGTAGAGACGGGGTTTCACCATGTTGGCCAGGCTCGTCTCGAACTCCTGACCTCAGGTGATCCACCTACCTCCGCCTCCCATAGTGCTGGGACTGCAGGCATGAGCCACTGTGCCTGGCCCACACTACGATTTTTAACACAAGATGTGGCCTTTATAATAACTCACTAGGGGCAGGAGAAAGGAGAGGTCATGGTCTGAGGCTTGGACCCACCACACCCCAGTTCCTGCACTGGAAAATTACAGGCTCGTTAAGGACCCAGAGCCCCTTCCAGGGCCACCCTGTTAGTTGAGAAGGGAGAACTTAGTCTTAAATTACAATTTGAAAAGGTGGCTGCTAACGTATATATATTAGAAACAGTAAGAACTGTTGTATTTGAAACAGAACTAAACTTTCTTCCCCTAACTTCTGCCATGAAGTGATTAAAAAAAGTTTTTTTTGGCTGGGCACAGTGGCTCACACCTGTAATCCCAGCACTTTGGGAGGCCAAGGCGGGAGGATCACTTGAGCCCTAGAGTTGGAAACCAGCCTGGGCAACATAGCGAAACCCTGTCTCCACACACAAAAAAATTAAATTAGCCGAGCATGGTGGCCGGCCCCTGTAGTCCCAACTACTCAGGAGACTGAGAAGAGAGGATCACTTGAACCCGGGAGGCAGAGGTTGCAGTGAGCCAAGATCATGCCTCTGCATTCTAGCCTGGAGTTCCAGGCTGTCTCAAGAAACATATACCTTTTTCATTTTTGAAAAGGGCAGTCAAATTTAGCAGTGTGGGGTTGAATGCCAACTACAATGATACTAAGGTTAATTAGTTCTGACATCCACTGCCATTCAGACCAGGCTAGAGGTGATGTTGCATGGAGGATGGGTGTGACGCTGCTGATGACTCCCCTGAACTGCTGGGTATCTTAACGGCATCACCTACTGAGTTCAGAATGGGCATCTAACCCCCCCCAAGCCCCATCTCTTCCTCTAACTGCCAACCCTTTTTTCAGTTAAAGCGGCTCCATCCTTCCAGGTGCTTGGGCCAGACCTTGAAACCACTGACTCTTATTCCCCACATCCAATGCTTCAGCAAATCCTGTCAACTGTGCCTTCAGAGCACCTCCAGAATCTGACTGGACTCACTCCCATCTCACCACCACTCTGGTCCTGTTTTATTTTTTGAAACGGGGAGTCTCACTCTTTCTCCCAGGCTGGAGTGCAATGGTATGATCTTGGCTCACTGCAATCTCCACCTCCTGGGTTCAAGTGATTCTCCTGCCTCAGTCTCGTAAGTAGCTGGGACTACAGGCGCGTGCCACCATGCCTGGCTAATTTCTTTTTCTTTCTTTCTTTTTTTTTTTTTTTTTTTTTTGAGGTAGTTTTGCTCTTGTTGCCCAGGCTGGAGTGCAGTGGCCCAATCTCGGCTCACTGCAACCTCCACCTCCTGGGTTCAAGCGATTCTCCTGCCTCTGCCTCCTGAGCAGCTGAGATTACAGGCATGCGCCACCACGGCTGGCTAATTTTTGTATTTTCAGTAGAGATGGGGTTTCTCCATGTTCGTCAGGCTGGTCTCGAAATCCTGACCTCAAGTGATCTGCCCGCCCTGGCCTCCCAAAGTGCTGGGATTACAGGCGTGAGCCACCACGCCCAGCTAATTTCTATATTTTTTTTTAGTAGAGAAGGGGTTTTGGCATGTTGCCCAGACTAGTCTCAAAACTCCTGACCTTAAGTGATCTGTCCATTTTGGCTTCCCAAAGTTTTGGGATTACAGGCATGAGCCACCATGCCTGACCTGGTCCTGTTTTACATTTTAAGACTCCAAAATAACAACCACATGCAACACACAATAAAAACAGGCATAAAAGCCTTGCAGCTGGAACCGCCATCTTCCAGTAACTGGCCAAAATGACGAACACAAAGGGAAAGAGGAGAGGTACCTGATACATGTTCTCTAAGCCTTTTAGAAAACATGCAGTTGTTCCTTTGGCCACGTATATGTGAATCAATAAGAAGGGTGATAGTGTAGACATTAAGGGAATGGGTACTGTTCAAAAAGGAATGGCCCCCAAGTGTTACCATGGCTCAACTGCAAGAGTCTACAATGTTCCCCAGCATGCTGCTGGCATTGTTGTAAACAAACAAGTTAAGGGCAAGATTCTTGCCAAGAGAATTAATATGTGTAATGAGCACATGAAGGACTCTAAGAGCCGAGATGGCTTCCTGAAACGCGTGAAGGAAAATGATCAGAAAAAGAAAGAAGCCAAAGAGAAAGGTACCCGGATTCAACTGAAGCGCCAGCCTGCTCCACCCAGAGAAGTGCCCTTTGTGAGAACCAATGGGAAGGAGCCTGAGCTGCTAGAACCTCTTCCCTATGAATTCATGGCATCATAGGTGCTAAAAAGAAAAGACCTCTGGAATAGGGAAAAAAAAAAAAAGGCATAAAAAAACTATTTGGGGAACAACTGAAGAAATCTGAATGTGACTAGATACTAGAGGATATGGAATCATCATCCATTTTGGTTGTGGTGATGGGAGAAGAAGAATGTGCTCAGAGAGGCAAACTGACAAGTACTTCCATGAGCTCAACTGCCCTCAAAATAAAGAGCTTGGGATAAAAGAGTGACATAGACTGAGGATGGGCCAGGGCTTAGGAACATGGAGGCCACTGGTGACCTTAATACGCATAGTTTTGCTAGAGTCATGGAGACAAAACCTGTCTGACACAGGCCCAAGAGAACCGCAAATGGGTATCAGCTACTTCCCCATGGAGCTCTGCTGCCAAGAGCCAGGAGCTGGAGAGGAAAAGGGGTCAGCAGAGTGGCTTGGCTCTAAGGAGAAACGACTTGATTTTCACATGGGAATGATGGTCCTGGTCAAGCAGAAAACAAAACTGACGGCAGAAGGCCTCACTGCTCAGGTTTTTAGGAGCAGGACAAGTGGGATCCCACCACGAAGTCTGGCCAGTCCCTTCCGGGCTTTCCCTTCCTATATGCTTCCATCCGGTTGTAATATTTTTCTTCCTTAGTGGTTAAGTACAAGGCATTTCCACAGCTAAAACAGTGCAGGAGATCACCACACATATCAATGGGGAAATCATCCCTCAGAGGGGAAGCAACTTCCCTAGGCCACCCCAAAAGCCAGACCCAGAGTCAGGGCTAGGCCTCAGGCTCCTGTCTGTCTAGTGCCTGCTGCTTGGCTGTGAGGTTCTCTGGTTCACGTGGTGACGGGTCAGCTGTGTTCTCACCTGTCCCCAAGGCTGGATCCTGGGCTGTCACCTCATTCACACATCGGGGAAGACGATGGCCTCCCCATGAGAAGATGAAGCACATGGATGGTGGTGGAGGAATTGGGGGTGGGGGAGTTAGGGGGCAGGTGTGCTCCCCTCACACTTCCTGCCCAGTGCTGTGACTTCTACATTTCTAAGGTGAGCCTGGCACCAAAAGACACTGGGTCTAGACTTCCATCAGGTTCAAGTTCTGATTTCTGCCACTTCACTTCCTAGGGGTGGGTACACCTCACCCCTTCTAAGTCCACATTCTCTCCTCTCTGAAATATCGGCACTAGGAGCACCGGCTCCGGTGGCAGTGAGGATGAGATGCCAGCAGAGGCACAGATGCCTGGATGTGCAATGATGGCAGCAGGTCCATTCACTGAATACTGGGGACCTACCAGGGGAGAGGGTGACTTCAGGCCAGGCTGTCCAGGCAGAGCTGAGGAGCTGCTGCTCGGACAGCTGCTGGGAGACCAAGGGTGGTCCTGAACTGACGAGGAATGAGGAAGAAAGAGGAGCAACACAAAAGGGTGGTGGAGTTTTAATCAAGTCTCATTACAAAGGCAGAATTAGGAATGAGTCCCACCTAGCTTCCACGTGTGTGGGCAGCCGCTGTCACACGCACCTGTCGTGGCATTTAGCCCATGGCACAGACATATGTGGCTCAGGGCAAAAACCAGTGGGTGGGGCTCTGCACAGGAACCCTGGCCTCAGAATGGGAGACCCAGCCTGCCCAACACTGCTCAGAGCCCCTCCCAACTCTGACAACAGGCTCAGGTCAGGACTCCCCTGAAATCACGTGTCCTCCTGCCCCACTGCTGAGATCCCCAACATGCCAGACCTAGCTTGGAAACCTTCTTTCACCTGGTCAGCCAGGGAGGCAGCAAACAGAGATGACAACTCAGGGAATGATGTGCTGTTCGGAAATGACTAGGGAAACAACTGTTTCCCTACTGTCCTGGCTGGACCCACCCTGGGCTAACAAGCTTCCCAAGGAAGTCCCCAAATGGGAACCTAGGCTGAGAGAAGCAAGGCTATGGCGGCATCCAGAGGGCAGCCTCAGGTTTTGTTCCTGAGAACGAAGGGTGGCCCCAGAGGCTCAGGCATGCTCAGTGGGGCCAGGGCCACCAGCATGAGAGTGGGCAGGGGCTGCCACCTGTAGGGGGCCAGCACTGGGCTCCGGGGACGCCAGCAGAGGGGCCGAGAGGCCATCAGCAGAGTCTGTGTCGAGGTCCAGCCTCCCATAAGCTTCGCACAGAGGCAGGTCATTAGCTTCGCAAAGGCTTGAGCTTTTCCACCACCAGAAACCCCAGGGAGAGACAGGAGCAGGCAGAGAGGAAAGCCAGGGGAGGGGAGAGCAAGACAGAAGCAGAGTTAAGAAAACACGACCACACCCCAGACCTGCCTTTCCCTTTCTCCACTCCTGCTCCATCTGACCCAAGTCGGCAGGCCTGGCAGAGAGAGAGGCCAGCGTTGAGAGCCACCCCAGCATCCTTAAAGGAGGAAGCCGCCCTAGCCCAAGCACCAGCAGCTGTGTGACCTCAGCAAGCCCTTCCTGCCCAGCCTCCACGTGGGCTTGTCCTAGCCTATGCTTCCCAGCTGGTGCTGGTCCCCCTCCTCTTGCAAGAAGCTGTCAGGCTGGCAGCCCTCCCTCCTCCCTGACTGCAGAAACCCCAGTGCCACTGCACTGCAAAGAACTCTTGGAGGGCCGAGACTGTGTCTTCTTTCTGGGTCGGTCGCTGCCTGAAACTTAGCCTGAAGGGGGCGACAGCTGGGAACACAGGCCCTGGCACTTCCTGGTAGTACTACACCAGCCAGGTGGCCTCCAGCAGGTGTCCCCACCTCTAACGCAGGGAATCCTCGCGACAGCCGGGACGCAGGTGAAGAGCACAGCTAGCCCTTCCCATGCCCGCAGCTGTGACAGTCCATGCTCGCCTCGTGCTAACCTGCAGGCAGGGGTCCTGGCTCTCCCGAGGCCTGCCTCGCCCCTGGCTTCCTCTCTTACTCCTGCCCTCAGTGTTCAGTCTCAGAACCGTCCTGGGCACAGAGTGGCATCCCGAGGAAAGCGGAGGATAGGCAGAGCCAGAAAGAGCAACTAAACAGCGGAGAGGGGACAGGCGAGCACGGACGAACAGCTCATGCGGGATGGGGCGGGGAACGGAGCGCCCTTTGGGAAGGGACAGAGGAAACTCAGCCCAGCCCTTGTCGCTTAAAGGCGACGTACAGAGGAGGGAGCAGCTGCTTCTGCCACAGGAGCTGTGTGAGGCCCCCAGGGGCGCTGGTGCAGACAGCATGCCTGCGGGAGGAGACACAGGCTGGCCTGGAAGCCCCTCTGGGTGAAGCCAAGGGACTGTTGGGGGAGGGCATGGAAAGCCTGGCACACACGTCCTGGGTTTGCGCCCTGCTTTGCTGCAGGGCCATGGGCAGCTTCCCTCTCTCCCTGCCCCATGGCAAGGCAGGCAGGCTGAATTACAGGCCCACAGCTGCTCCGTCCAGGGGCCCTCAGCGACAGTGGCTGCCTCAAAGAGACAGACAAACTGAACAGCTGTGGAAGGAGATGCCCAGAAGGGTGTGAAACACCCCAGGACCCCTCTCAGCCACTACTGTGGAGGAAATGCTGTCTCATATCTGCTGAGTTAATGAGTACTGAAGACCAAATATTCCCCAGAACGCCCTGGAAAACTCTAGAACTACTGCAGCTGAGCAGTGCCACTGAGCCCAGGGCAGGGAAACCAAGTCCCAGGTCATGCTGGCTCTGGACATCTGTGGCTCCCAGCACGGCCATTGGGCAGAAAGGGGCATTTTAAATCCACCACCAGGAAGGTTTGTCCAGGAGAAGGACACAAGGACACAGACACTGCCTCTGCTGGACTGAATCTTGATTTTCTAAGCTAATGGGGCAGAGTGGAGGGCCTCCCTGTCTCCAGCCTAAGTTTACCCCAGGGCCCCACAGAAATCAGAAATCAGAGACTCTGATTTCTCAGGGTCCCTCCAGCTCAAACGGCCGAAGGTTTCAGCTTCTTACATGGCCCCACGAGGGTCAGGATAATGGGTTTTGACCCTTCTGCATCCCCGGGGCCCAGCACGAGCCCTGGAATGTAGGTCGGCTCCAGCTCTGTGGATAAGGCTGAGTGGGTCAGAAACTGGAGCTCCAACGGCTTTCAAGGCCATTCCCTCATTGCCTGCCTGGGCTTCATCCCCCCCACACTCCTATGACTGTCCCTGCCTCCACACTGGGGTTTGGTGACATCCACATGGAATTGTAACCCTGGTGCCCTGGACATAGGTGTGGACCTGACTGCCCAAGAGGGGCTGGCCCAGCCTTGGCTGAAATCTCTACATATGGATTCAGAAGCTAACAGGAGCAGCCCAGCCCCAGAAGGCACTGCCTGAGGAGGAAGGCTCTGGGAAGAGGACCTGCGGGGGATACAGCCAGGCGCCTCCCTTCTCCAGACCTGGCCTATCCGACTGGCATTGAGTCCTGTGGTTTTCATCACACTGCACTGTGGGAAAGGCCCAGGGCCCTGGCAGATGGTTGTGAATTGTCTGTCGATCAAATGCTCTGGTCAGAAGCTCTGCTCTGAAACCCAGGCACGGCTCCACTGCCAAGACCAGCAAGAATTTGAAACAGCAGAAGGCAGCCTTGCCTGCTGGCCCGGCCCAGGTAGGCGGGCTCCCGCTCTGCATGGGGAGTCCAGCGCTATTTATACCTGGACGAGTAATACTCCTCCTCCAGCTCATAGAGGTCGATGGAGATCTCGTCTCGCAGCGTGATGAGCTTCCGGTCGCACTCCTCCTGCAGCGCGCGCAGCTGCTGATTGCGCTGGTCGATGGCCTCATTCACTGAGGGGAAGTCGTTGAGGATCAGGAACTGCTTGAGGTCGGACACCAGCTTCATCAAGGACTCGCCGGCTCGGACCTGTGGCCATCAGAACCAGGGCGGGCACAGGGTGAGGGGTGACAGCGGCCCTGCCTGCAGGTGGCTGATGTGGGACAAGGGATGGCCTTTCTGGGAGCCTCAGCTCCTCATCTGCAAAGTGGGACTCTACCCCTGACCTCCACAGGTTCATTTGTGAGAATTAAGTGAGCAAACTAGGATGTCAGTTCTGCAGGGCAGGCCCTCCCCTCCCTCAGCCTCTGGCTTCCACTCCTGCAGGACTGGCCTCCAGTCCAGTCATGCAGGTGCACATTCTGCTCATGAAAAACTCAAACCCCACAGATAAAACTACGATCCCATTTTGCCTCCTGCCCCGGGGTAGGGGTAGTATGGCTGCTACCTGGGCAGAGCTCCTGTGAGACCTTTTGTCATGCATTTTGAGCCCTGGATGTGCACCTGCGGGAATATCTGCTTGCTGTGTTTCTCCTGTGATCCGAAGGAATCCAATGGCGCCTACAGTTCCATTCGGCTGTTTGTCTTTTCACTCACAACTGACCTTAGGAACTCGTGAGTTAGCAGGAAGGGCTGCCCTCTTCCCTGCCACTGCACAGCTACAGGATGGGCATGGGCGGCTCTCTGCCCAGCCCTCCTCCAAGTGCCCTATGTGAGGACAATCTCCTGAGAAATGATTTGCCCCCACGTCATTCTTTAAAGCTGCTGAGTGGTGAAACCAAAGCGTCTCTACATTTGCCTCCTTCTGCTCCTTCTCAGGGGAAGAAAAGCAGACCAGCCCCAAAACCCCCTACACTCCACCCAGGAAACCCCAGCCGGGACTGATGCTCCTGGAGCCCAGGCCGTGCCCTCCACCCTGGCCACTCACAATGTTGGCGGCTCGCACGTGCATCTCGTAATTGTCCTGTTCACCCTGAGTGGCCCGTGACACCTGCGTCTCGTCCTCAATCTGGGGGCAAACAAGAAAACCTAGAATCAACCCAGTCAAGGCATCCACACCCCTGGCCCGGCCCAGCCCAGCTTACGGTAACTGTCATCTGCCCAGGATGCCCACACTATCCACAACCTGTCTGTGGTGCTGTCTACAGACCTGAGTGCTGTCAGCCAGACCTCTGGCAAGGTTCAGTTCCACCCTCTCTTGTTCTGGCCATAGGAGACAACAGGCACCTTGCTCAGGACAAATGGAGGCAACTCACACTGTTACTGTGCTACATGCAGGGATGGGGGCTTATCTTGGACCAGTCTTTTTGGGCTGTGGGAGCCCTGTCTGGTGGGAACCCTTGTCACTTGCTTGGCATTTGGTAAACTGCTGGATGAGTGAAGGGATGATGTATTTTCTTTTCAGCGACCATTTCCTGATCACTTCCCAGGTGCCAGGCTGTGTCACGCACTTAACCACCATCAGCCCATGACATTTTCACAGAAGCCTGGCCTGCCACCCCTGGTTTATAGGTGGCCAAGCGAGACTGGGACAGACTGGTGTGGGTAAGGAGTCTCAGATGGTGAACAGAGGGGCCAGGAGCCCAGCCAGTGCGTTCGGCTAACCTGGACAGGACTTCCCAGCAGGTCTTGCAAGGGCTCAGCTCGGGGTGGGTGTCAGGTACCCTCAGTGGTTAAGACCCAGACTTTGTGGGTTCAAATCCTGGCTCAGCCAGTTATGAGCTGAGTCACCTTGGGCAAGTCACTAAGTCTCCTGGGCCTGGGTTTCCTCCTGAAATGAAGAGGACAACAGTGCCCACCTCAGAGTCCTCATGAAGATTCAGCAGAACAGGCATAGACAGCCTCACAACGTGGTTTGACACATAGCAAGCACTTAGTACATGCTAGCGTCCATACTTATCATCATCGCTTATGGAGCCTGCCAGGTCGGCAACAGCCAGGAGGGATCCAGCCCAATCTAGTGCAGTTGCAGCAGTCAGCAGGCCCCAGTGCTGACCGCTCCACCTGCCTGGAGGGCCCCCCACTTCTCCCCTCAGTCTGCTTTTCTCCTGCTCACTGGCTCTGTGCCCAAAGTAACTGTTTTACATAGGTAAACTCACCAGTCACCATAAGGTCATTGTGGGGTCATCATAAGGACCCCACAATGCAGGAGAAACTGAGGTACTAAAAAGTGAAATCTCCACCCAAACCCATACTGTCAGTAAGGGCTGGACTTGGGGCCGCAGCAGTCCAGCCAGAGTCCCCTGTGCTGCTTTGCCAGGACGTGCCATTATTTGGTGTATCTACTGACCAGCTCCCTGTGCACTGGGTGCTTCCTGCCTGGAACACTATCCACTCACGCTGCTCAGCCCCTGGCCTCTCCTGTCTCCATCTCTTCCCAAACCCTGCTCCCCTTGGTGGTCCCCCCCACCCCCACCTTGGCGGTCTTGATGATCTCCGTGAAGTTGTCCATGATGGACTTAATGTCATCCTTCAGCCGCTTGTTGTAGGACTGCAGCAGCGTCTCCTTGCTCTGGGGCAGGGCTCTCTGCTGGGCCATGGCCGAGCCTCAGGCAGCGCAGCGGGAAGACCTGGGACCTTAGAGTGCAGCACAGACCTCTGAGTGCAGGCAGAGTCAACCCGGGCACCCTCTATGCCCCGACCTTAGCAGAACACGCAGATTTCTGGGGATTCCCTTTCTGCCCAATAAAGTCAATCACTGAAACACAGATGAACTCAGTCCCTCAGCAGGCACTGCAGGGGGTTCCAGGACTCTCCTCTGGCCCCGCCTTTGCCAGAGCAAGCTCATCCTGGAACTCCTGGCCAGCCCTCCAAGCCCTGTCCAGGGCTGCAGTCCAGACTTCATATCCAGGCCCACAGAGTGTCCCAGAGAGGCCTGCAAGCTCATCACCAGCCCCTGGCATAACTTCTTAGCCCGCCGCCACCCTCACCACGCCCTCCCATCGGAGGAGTCCTTCTGCACCGCCTACATCCACGCTTTCCTTCTATTTCCCACTCCGGCTGCCCCGCTCCAGACCTCATCCCTGCACTGGGACCCGCTCCCTCCAGTCTCTGCGCGGCAGAGAAGAGGTCCTAAAAAGTGGTCATTCGGGCCGGGCGCGGTGGCTCACGCCTCTAATCCCAGCACGGGAGGCCAAGGCAGGGATCACCTGAGGTCAGGAGTTTGAGACTAGCCTGACCAACATAGTGAAACCCCGTCTCTACTGAAAATACAAAAATTAGCGGGGAGTGGTGGCGGCGCCTGTAGTCCCAGCTACTCGGGAGGCTGAGGCAGGAGAACCGCTTGAACCCGGGAAGCGCAGGTTGCAGTGAGCCGAGAGCGCGCCACTGCACTCCAGCCCTGGGCGACAGGGGGAGACAACGTCTCAAAAGAAAAAAAGGGGGGGTCACTCCACTCCCTCGCTTAACATCCCTCATGGCTCCTCCACCGGGACAAGGGGCTCAAGCCCCGCGCGCCTCTCGGCCTCTGCCGTAAGCCGCACTGGACAGCCTCGGCGCCGGACCTGCCTGGCCTTCGGGCCGGGCCTCTGCGCGCGGTGCTCAGGGAGGGTCCGGGGCCCCTAGGTTCGCGGCCTGGCGCTCGGCCCAGCGGACTCCCGGAAGCACTCGCGTTGTTTGAGCCCAGTTTTGACGGGGTGGGAGAATTAAGTCACACGTAGGAAAGTGGATCCCCGACCTCTGCGCCTACGCACCCACACACCCCCCACACCCGCCACACACCCACCCCACCTCCATCCCCACTCCCCACCACACCCTCATACCCACCCCGGCGCCCGCGCACCAGACGCCGCGTCCGCCGGGTCGGCCTGGGGCGGGGTGGACAAACGCCTCTGGGACCCGCACTTTCCCGCGTCTCTCCCCCGGCCGGGCCCGCCCGCCGCAGCGTCTCTTCCCCGCCGCGCAGCAGCCTCTCGGCCCCGCCTCGATTTTTTACATTTATAGGAGTGCTGTTGCTTTAAATCTGAAATCCCGTGCCGGTATCAACTCTCGCGATCTCCAAGGCCGCATACATATTACCCACAATTCCCTTTTCTTTCTTTCTCCTCCCGCCGCCCAAGATGGTGAGTGAGTGCTATTTCCGTGCCACTGTAGCCAGGTCTCTGGTGTATCCGCTGCCATCCTCCTCCAGGCGCGGCCGCGGAGGGCCTCCTGCTCCACCTGGCGCTAGGAGAGCCCTGCCCGGTGTGGCGCGGAGACATTGAGATGGACTAGAGCCCCGGGCGGCCGGGAGCGGGATGCGTTGATCCCGGTGTTGCTGGGCTGGGGGAGGAGGGCCTGGAGCGCCGCACTGCGCGGCTCGGAGTGGACGGGGCCGAGGCGCCCGGAGCCTTAGCGTCTCCTGGGCTTCCTGGGGGCCGCTCCAGAGGTCTTGAGCGACGAGTTCTGAGCCCGCCCTGTTGCTTCTAGAAGCTGCGGGGCCGCGATCCAGAGGGATCATGAGTTCGGGGCGTCTCCTGGGTTGGCGACGCGAAGAGAGCGTGGCCTCGGGCTTAGCCGGGCTCCGGCCGCTCGGGGTTCCTGGGGCTGCGTGCTCGTGCTGATGTGAGACACTCCTGTCGAGGGGTGGTGCTGGGGGGCTGCAGAACGCTGCTCGCCGGCCTAGTTCAGGCAGGGGCTGTCGGCGCCCCGTGTTTTGGAGGAGCCAGCCCGAGACCTACCCCGGACAAAGCGAGTGGAGGGGGCGGTTTAACTGACGTTTTCTTTCTGCGCAGCCGAAAGGAAAGAAGGCCAAGGGAAAGAAGGTGGCTCCGGCCCCTGCTGTCGTGAAAAAGCAGGAGGCCAAGAAAGTGGTGAATCCCCTGTTTGAGAAGAGACCTAAGAATTTTGGCATTGGTGAGTAACGGCAGAATGAACACTGTTTTCCCAAGGGAAAATGGTAATTGGGTTGTGTCGTATTTTGCAGGTTTTAGTGGGTGTAAAGTGGTCGCAGTCCTTAACCCGTGTCTCTTAGAGACGGGGGTAATGATGACACGTGCTCCTTGCTTTCATTGGGAGTTGCTGTGTGAGCATTCAGCTCAATGGGGTAGTGACCTTGGAGTCAGCTTAGCCATCCGGAAACAAGTACAGTAGCATTGTCACGGCGAGGCACTAGAACAACAATTCTGCTGTACTTGGTGGCGCCTTGGCTTGTTAGATGAGGAAAAGCATCGTGCTCTCGGGTTCTCAGGTGTTTGTGTGCAGATGATGTAAAAGAATATTTGCTATCTGAAAGATGGTGATGACGTTTTAAACCACCAAGATCGCTGATGCACCAATACTCTTCTTGGCGGCCCCAGACGTGAACTTGACATGGGATTTGAACCTCACTCGATGTCACCCTTTACTTCTCAGGCCAGGACATCCAGCCCAAAAGAGACCTCACCCGCTTTGTGAAATGGCCTCGCTATATCAGGTTGCAGCGGCAGAGAGCCATCCTCTACAAGCGGCTGAAAGTGCCTCCTGCTATTAACCAGTTCACCCAGGCCCTGGACCGCCAAACAGGTGAGTTCTGTGGCATGGAAAGAGTTTCTCAGGCAAGGATTCCTTATTTCATCCAGAACATGAGGGTGGATGGCCTTAGGTTTCTTGAACTGCATCTGTCATTACATTATAGTCATCATATAGCAGGACAATGGTCTAGCATTTGTATTAAGCGACAAGGATTAGAACCTTGACTACAAGCCTAAACTGAAGAGTGTTTTTCCAGCTACTCAGCTGCTTAAGCTGGCCCACAAGTACAGACCAGAGACAAAGCAAGAGAAGAAGCAGAGGCTGTTGGCCCGGGCCGAGAAGAAAGCTGCTGGCAAAGGGGACGTCCCCACTAAGAGACCACCTGTCCTTCGAGCAGGTGAGTAGGCCCCACCTTAGGGTGAACACTAGGGGCAGGCTGTTGGAGTGATGTAGAATTTCTTCACCTGAAATCACTGTGAAGAGCAAAACCAAGCTTTTTAACACTGAGTCAACAGCTGAGCCCAGCAGCTTCTTGTGACGGGAGCAAGCCCTGTGGTTGCTCACAAAGTGGTTGTGTGTTCTAGGGGTTAACACCATCACCACCTTGGTGGAGAACAAGAAGGCTCAGCTGGTGGTGATTGCACATGACGTGGATCCCATCGAGGTGCGTTTGCCTGTTGACTGCTAACCCAAGGGCTTCTGTGTCAGTATTGGGAAGAGAGAGTAGGCCTAATGCCAAGTCAGTGGTGGGACTGAAGTGGGTGAGGACGGTACTGACACAGATCCAGCACATGCGTGGCTCTTGCAATGATGTGAATCTCTCACTGAATTCAACCTTGAAGTGCAAATCCATGAGCTTTTTAACCCTGAGCAATTGCCACCAAGCGAACTCTGAAATTTACTGCTTTTGGTCAAAATACACTCTTCAGCTAATGCTTTCTTCCAGCTGGTTGTCTTCTTGCCTGCCCTGTGTCGTAAAATGGGGGTCCCTTACTGCATTATCAAGGGGAAGGCCAGACTGGGCCGTCTAGTCCACAGGAAGACCTGCACAACTGTCGCCTTCACACAGGTGAACTCGTAAGTACACAGCCTGGCCCCAAACCTCCCCTAGCTCGTTTAATCCATGCCTCCCAGTTGTTTCCTTTTGCCTTAAAGGCATATCTTTTAGTTTAAGAAATACATTTGCCGGATGCAGTGGCTCACACCTGTAATCCCAGCACTTTGGGAGGCCGAGGTGGGTGGATCATGAGGTCAGGAGATCGAGACCATCCTGGCTAACACGGTGAAACCCCATCTCTACTAAAAAATACAAAAAAAATTAGCCAGGCGTGGTGGCGGGCACCTGTAGTCCCAGCTGCTGAGGTAGGAGAATGGCATGAATCCTGGAGGCGGAGCTTGCAGTGAGCTGAGAGCGAGCCACTGCACTCCAGCCTGGGCGACAGAGCAAGACTCTGTCTCAAAAAAAAAAATGTATTTGAACTTTTGCCAATGATGGTTAAGAATTTCTTCACCTGAATAAACCATGTGGTCAACATTGCATCTGAGGCAAAAGATCGTCTTGAGCTAAAACTGAAAGTATTTCTGCGTTCTAAAAGGGAAACTAAGAAATAAAAGCCCCACTTTTGTTTTCCCTCCTGCCTTTTAGGGAAGACAAAGGCGCTTTGGCTAAGCTGGTGGAAGCTATCAGGACCAATTACAACGACAGATACGATGAGGTAAGAGCTTTACACAAAATATTGTCATGCACAAGTCATTTTACCAAATGACTGGCTGGCTTAACTTATGAGAAGTTCTGACGATCAGTTTGTAACAGTCCCAACAGAATAACACAACTAATAACCTTGAAAATGTCAGAAAACAAGTCAAGCTGACCGCCTCTTTCTGTCTTTTCAGATCCGCCGTCACTGGGGTGGCAACGTCCTGGGTCCCAAGTCTGTGGCTCGTATCGCTAAGCTCGAAAAGGCAAAGGCTAAAGAACTTGCCACTAAGCTGGGTTAAATGTACACTGTTGAGTTTTCTGTACATAAAAATAATTAAAATACAAATTTTCCTTGAGCCAGCATCTGTTGAGTATCTTCGGTTGAATCTTATTTGGGGCTAAGTACCCTTTTTTTGAGACAGCCTCACTCTGTTGCCCAGGCTGGAGTTGCAGTGGCGTGATCTCACAGCAACCTTCGCCTCCCAGGTTCAGGATATTCTGGTGCCTCAGCATCCCAGGTGGCTGGCTGATTCATGTTAGCCAGGCTGGTCTCAGCTCTTGACTTCAAGTGAGCCACCACACCTGGTCCTTCCCACCTTTATATATTCTTACACCAGGTGTTTTGTTTCCTAGAGATGTAACTTGCGTGTCAAGTTTTGGGAAAGTTCTTTGGACTGAAACCAAGCCAGGATTTTATTATCAACCCTTCATGAGCTCATTTAAGGTAGAAGGCCAGAACTTTATACTAGCAGCACATGATCCAGCATAAAGGCAGTCTTTTTACTTCATTATTCAGGGACGGCTTTAGCAGCTGATCTGTCACACACCAGGTGTCCCACGTAGGAATTTCTTAAACCACAGGTATGATGTAGCTGCAGAGAGTCCATACCTTGGGGTTGAAAGAAAGCTAGCATTAGGCTGCTGGGCTGAAGGGGAGGGAGCCAGAGGGTCGCTGGGGACTCACCAGGTCACGATGTACTGCAGATGCTCGTTCCTCAGAGTAACTCTGGTTTGCCCTCCAATGGGTCCTCCAGGGACTGTGCTCTCTGCAGAGACAGCAGACTTGAAGTCCACCCTCTGCTGCCTGCCAGCCTCTGCATTACTTCCTAGTGGTTGTCATTTTTGCGTGGCCAGTTGGAAGTCCTGCATGGCCTTTACCTTGGGTGACCATCCCCAGCCTTGTCTGCTCAGTACTTGCCAAGGTTCCTCTTTGCTGAGTTGCTGCCCCCCTTCCCCCACTCATATACACACATGCGAGAACATAAGCCATGGCAGTGACTGGGCAATGAGAGTTAGGAGGAAGGACAGTTATTCACAAAAGCTACTTATTCCGGGGTGGGCTGGTCACAACGTACGGAAGTTGGCGTCAATGAAGATGGGCTCTGCGCCTGTGATTCTGGCCATAGCTTCCAGGTCCCGGTAATACCAGTGGTTCCTTTCTGGATTGTTCTCGGGGACAAAAGGTTGCCTGGTTTCTGTCAGCCTCACCACCCCAATGAGGTCCACTTCTCCCTCAATCTATAAAGGAAGGTGTGAGACTGCACAAAGCCTGGCGGACTCCCAGAGCCTTCTCTAAAGTAGGAAGAGTCCATGTCCCTTACCTGGCCTTTCTGCCGGGTTTCAGGATTCACTTTCTTCCTGGGAACGAACCCTCTATTTACCAGGATGGTGGTTCTAGGGTAATGAAAGTGCTACGTCAGGTGGGGAGGGTTTTTGAATAAACACGGTCACTCAGGCACCCATAGGAACAACTAGAGCACCAAGGAAGGCTTTTAAAACAGGACTGGCTCAGGGGAGCCCTGGCAGTGCCACACAGGCAGTCTTCCTCTCTTGAGGCCCCTTCGTGGTCAGTAAAAGCCTCCCTGAAAAATGCGGCTTTCCCCCTCTATCTCTGCATCTCGTGGTCTACCCACTACAGTGTGCAACTGGTGAGCAACACTGCCATCCAAGAGTAGACCCCACACCTCTCCCCTGAACTGTGGCAATGGCTGTCTCCAATCCCTCATAACCAGGGCAGCCATGAGGAGCAACCCTGTCACCCCAGCCTGCTGGAGATGAGCATTTGGGCCCTATCCCCGGCCTAAAACAGGAACCCATGGGTTAACAAGAGCCCCAGGTATTTTCATTTGTACGTGAATCCTCCAGTTCCCCAGTTAATCACACAGGTGCTCCTGTACCTATCATTTGCTTTGCCTGGAATGTTCTTCCCATCTCTTAACGCCCCCTAGGGAACCATCCCTGCCTCCACTCCCTCAAGGTAGAGCTGAGGTCCTTTCTCTTGAATTCCTCTCAACTGGCCTCTCTTCATAGTCCGCCATCATCTAATGTGTGGGCAACTGGACAGTTCTCCAAAGGAGGGGCCCCTGTTTCATGAATCCCTCCTTTCCCTTCAGAGGTCAACATATAGAAATTACCCAGTCATAAATGAACCAGCTGAGAAGCTTAAGTCAATGTCACAATTAGGGACTTTAAACGATGCAAGGAATTGAATCTTCTGGGTACCTTGGGTTCCTCAGGGTCTTACCAAGGTTTTGTGAAGGGATTGTGAAGGAAATAGTGATGTAAATTAGTATACCCCGACTGCCTCTGCCAGGACAGCCAGCTCCCACATACCCTACTCACCCCAGGTCAGTGCAGTGGAAGGGAGTGACCACATAGGCCCCACTCTGAGTTGAGGAGGAGATGCGGCCGGCCTCCCAGGCCTCCCGGGCAGGGTCCACCATGGTCCGGGGCATCATATACAGCTCCTTGGAGTGGTCAAAGCACCCTTTGACCTTCACTGGCCTATACTCCATATTTTTCAGTTCCACTGGGCTGCATGGAGATAAGAACAGTGGCCGAGCAAGGTTTGGCTGGAAAACGAATCCCCTAATGAGGGTGGCAGACTACACAGCCCACCAGGGCCAGACAAGTAAAGGAGAAAGGCAAAGGGCATGCTCTCTGAAGGGGAAGTGGCCCTCATGCCATGTGGGAATGGGGATCTGCACTGCCAGAGTCCAGCTTTACAAGAGAAGCTAAAAATCTAGACTCCTCAATGAATATGTGGAATTTTAAAAAATATGTGGGCCAAAATCCCAGCTGCAGGTCAAATCTAGCATACTGTTTGCTGCCCTGAATGGCAGATGTGGGTGAATATACCTGTCTCTGTAGGGCATATTCTAGGGAGACAGCAGACAAATCATTTAGGGCACGTTTTCAAAAGACCACCTCACAGTGAGACCTACATTATCTGTCCTCAGCCACAGAGCCTTGGGCCCTGTGGAGGGTAAGTTCACTACACCTGAAAAAAGGGTGACACCCAGGATGCAAAGTAAGACTTTCCTCCATATGTCAGGAGGTGGCCTCAGGTAGCTTCACAAGGGCAGTCATGTGTCAAGAGCAAGCCCAACAGGATGACTGATAATGAGAGCTCCCACCTGAGGTCAAGGCAGTGACTAAAAGTCCTGCCAAAAGGGGCAGGCTGGCCAGCAGAAGCCAGGGCTCCGCTGTTGGACTCCAGTGAGACTGGCCCTGGGGGCAGCCACACACTCACTCTGCTGGCAGAGGGACAGGCTCAGCCAGAACTCGAGACTCCAACTCTGCAATTAGGTTCAGCTTCCACTTCCGACGTTGGACCTACAGTGACAGAGCATAAGCCCAAGCAGATGGCAGCAGGGTCAAGGGCCCAGAGTTACGCACACCAGATGCCCGTCTTTACCTGCCATGTCCCCAAGCCAAAGGCAGTCACAGGGATGAGGAGCAGGACCCACTGAAGAATGGAGTCATCTTCCGCTTTTGTGGCAGATGCTTCTGCTGCAGAACTGCCACATCTGCTTGGCCTCCAGGCCACCCCTGGAGAAAGTTTCACAACACTGACATGGGGCCAGAAGCCCTTGAACAGATACCTGGAGCAGCCAGTTCCAAGACAGACTCCAGTACTACCAAACAAAACCTGCTTCCTAGAGCCAACTAGCAGCACCTGTATCCAGCCCAGCTCCTAACCTAGTGGCCGGGACATGGCACACACTGAGTATGTTTGCCAACTGAGTGAGATCTAGGGCTCAGTGCTGGCTTGGCCACCAACCACGACCCTGGGTAACTCATGCCTTTTTACTCAACAATATAGATGTATTCCACTGCACTAAGATGCACCATTCATCCATTCAAAATGCATTTAATAAACAGCTACAGTTGGCCGGGCGTGGTGGCTCACGCCCGTAATCCCCACACTTTGGGAGGCCAAGGTGGGCGGATCACAAGGTCAGGAGTTTGAGACCAGCCTGACCAATATGGGAAAACCCCGTCTCTACTAAAAACACAAAAATCAGCCTGGCATAGTGGCACATGCCTATAATCCCAACTACTCGGGAGGCTGAGGCAGGCAAATCGCTTGAACCTGGGAGGAGGTGGTTGCCGTGAGCAGACTGTTCCACTGCACTCCAGCCTGGGCAATTAGAGGGAAACTGTCTCAAAAAATAAAACACAAAAAATAAGCAGCTACAGTTACTAAGTAGCTTAGCCAGGCACTAGTGGTTATTGTGTTATGTAGAGAAACATATCAGCTCAGAGTAATGGCTCACAGAGCTCTCTTAACAGCTTTCCATTTTTACAACTCATTGTAAATGTAAAGATGGAAGAATGTACACAGAAGGTGCCTTTAAGCTCTCAGAGGGTGAGTCCCATCCGCTGAAAAGCACCAGCGGCCTTGCGGATGCTATTTATTAAAAAAAAAAAAAAAAGGACGGGCGCGGTGGCTCACGCCTGTAATCCCAGCACTTTGGGAGGCCGAGACGGGCGGATCACGAGGTCAGGAGATCGAGACCATCCTGACTAACACAGTGAAACCCCATCTCTACTAAAAACACACACAAAAAAAGCCGGGCGTGGTGGCTGGCGCCTGTAGTCCCAGCGACTCGGGAGGCTGAGGCAGGAGAAGGGCGTGAACCTGGGAGGCGGAGCTTGCAGTGAGCCGAGATAGCGCCACTGCACTGTAGCCTGGGCAACAGAGCGAGACTCCGTCTCAAAAAAAAAAACACGCAGCTGGCAGGCTTGCACAGCACTCTACACACGGCAAAATAACCTGTGCTGCACACTGAGAGGAACACGTAAGCCGCAGTGTTTAGATGCGCTTTAACTTTTAGAGCCCTGGGCTTTCAGCCTGGGCTGGCCACCCATTCGCTGGATGGGACGTTAGGAAGTAATTCTCGAGCCTTCTCTGTAACACAGGAACGACCAAGGAGCTACCCCTCGCGTTGTTGTGAGGACAAAGCGCTCGCTACATGCCCGGCACACGACCACAGTTCCACTGAGAGCATTTTAATATGGAACTTGTCACTCCCAGGGAACCTCCGCTCAGCCGGCAGTTGGCTCATTTCAATCCCCACGACACTCCTTCAAAGCGCAGGGCAGACAGCAGGTGGCTCTGCCCAGGCGCCTAGATCACCGCCCGGCCTGCGGCCCTCACCTGGGCGCGGGGACACCCCGAGGACGCTCCTCCAGGCGGCGCTGGCAGTGGCCTGCGGACACGGACGGGCGGGCTGAGCTCCGGGACCCCTCCCCTCGCCCCGTACCGCCCTCTCGTCCCCGGCGCCCCATGCTCACCCGTCCCAGCCCCGCCGCCCGCAGCCCCAGCTGCAGCGCAGCCACCGCCGCCATCGCACCCGGCCCGGCAGGCTCTTCCGGGACGCAGGAGGCATCTGCTTCCGGGTCGCCGCCGAGTCCCGCCCAGAGCCCCGCTCCCGGCCCCACGTGCTGGGAGCTGCTTCCGCCGGGGTGGTCTGCGGGCGCCTCGGCCATGAGCGAGTTCCCGGCCGACGTGCAGGCCTTCCTGCGCGAGCACCCGAGCCTGCGGCTCCAACCGGACGCCCGCAAGGTTCGCGGCGCGGGAGGGGAATGGAGTGGCGGAGAAGGGCGCAGTTGGGATGAGGGGGCTGAGGGGAGGGCAGGGGAGAGGGGAGGGCAGGAGAAAGGACGCGGCGAGGTCAGGGGAGGGGAGGGAAGGGGGCGCGGCAGGAGGGGGCACCGGGGAGCGGGCGTGGCAGGAGCCCCGGCCCTCCTGACCGCCTGCCCCTGCGTCCGCAGGTGAGGTGCATCTTGACTGGTCATGAGCTGCCCTGCCGCCTGCCGGAGCTCCAGGTGTACACCCGCGGCAAAAAGTACCAGCGGCTGGTGCGCGCCTCCCCGGCCTTCGACTTTGCAGAGTTCGAGCCGCACATCGTGCCCAGCACCAAGAACCCGTAGGTGGTCCGCGGCGGCGTGGGGAGGCCCAGAGCAATTAGGACAGCCCCTCCGCTGGTGCCCCCCGGTGCCTGAGCCCCCTCTAAGGGAGCTTCCCGGGAGGGCTCGGCTGAGGACAGGTCCTGGGTGGTGAACCCCAAAATTCCCTCCTCCTGAGGACTCCGCCAGTGCTGCAGCCCCCGCTCTTTCAGAGTTGGGAGCCCTGGGATCTAGGTGGGCGCCCGGGTGCTGGAGTCACCTGCGATCCTGGCGAGGCCTCTCGGTGAGCTCGTTTGCTTTTCGGTAAACCTGACGTTTGTCTTGTGGGGTGTGGCTGCTTCACAGAGGAGTAGAGGTTTGTGCTTTGTCACCTGAGGTTGTGAACAGCGTTGGGTTCTTCTCTTGACCCCAGAAGGGATCTTTGATTTACCAGGGAACTAGGGTTGGTAATAATCGTCAAAACAGAGATGGGATCTTTCCATTCATTGAGCACTTGGCCAGGTGGAGTCGTCCTCTTGCATGAACTCATCTTGGAGCAGTCAGCGAGGCTGCCATGCCTACTTTTCCGGTAAACATTAAGAGGCTGCAGTCTGCCTGGGTCAGCGGTTCTCCGCCCAGCTTCAGAGTGGAATTGCTCCGGGAGCCTTTAAAAGCCCTATGCCCAAGCCGCATGGTACACCGTCCCCGGTAGACCGTCCAGGGATGAGTCCAAGACACAGCCACCAGTCTGAATCCTTGCTGTGAACTGTCCCTACAAACTTGGTCTCTCTGCTCTGTAGGCACCAGTTGTTCTGCAAACTCACCCTGCGGCACATCAACAAGTGCCCAGAACACGTGCTGAGGCACACCCAGGGCCGGCGGTACCAGCGAGCTCTGTGTAAATGTAAGTCCCAGTGAACCCCCATCAGTGCATCGCCATCTGAGTGCATGCCCGCCCTGCCCCAAATGGAGCGTGCTTGAAGGCAGGTCATCCTTCAGCAATCCGTGTTGATGCACCATGCCTGTTTTTGGCACAATGAAGAGAGGGATGATGGCCCCTGACCCCACAGCTTCTAGTGCAGGCAGGCGCAGAGCCAGAAGCAGGCTTGGGAGGGAGGGGGTGCACGTGGCGATGCAAAGTGTGGAAGAAACCTGGCGAGGGACGTGGGGTGGGCTTGCGGAGACAGGAGGGCTGGGGAGGCTTGCTGAGGGATTCGCTCGAGGCTGAGGCTGGAGGGATGTGGTAGCAGTGGGGTCGGGGAGAACAGCACCCCAGGGAGAAGCCAGGGTCCATGGATGTCTGAGGCAAAAATGTGTTAGCTGAGGTAGGCTCCAAAGGACAGGCTGGGCTAGTGTGCACAGCAGGGGTGGCCCGGAGGCCCGGCCAGGAGCGCTGCAGTGGGTGTGTGGAGAGGGCTGGCCGGGGCTGCGCGGACAGTGTGCGTGGTTGAGAAGGGAGGGCCCCTTGACTGTGGCCATCCAGGAAAAGACGGTGGGTTTTGGGGGAAGAATTCAGAGTCCCTTTGAAGGTTTGAAGCTTGAGCTGTATTAGGAAAGGTGTGTATTAGGGAAGTATCGGGTTTTTGAAACAGGGACACCCATGCTGAGAGCACCCAGCGCGAGTTTAGAGAAGGGAGAGAGGACTGGTCCTGAGCCTCAGCAAGAGAATGGAAGTCCTCCCGTGTTACTGAAGGGAAGATGAGGACAGACAAATGATGTATTTGATAACGTGGAGGCCCCTGGCAACCTTGGTGAGGCACCCGAAGTTTGGCAGGGACACCTGGCTGGAGTGGAGCGTAGGCTGCAGCCCATGAAGGCAGTATCCGGCCTTAGGCACGTGCTGGGTCACCGAAAGGTCTTTCTGGAGTCTAGCTAAGGAGGGAAATGGACAGAGGCTGGAGCGGACAGATTCAGGTTGGCTCGTGGATGGGAAGATGCGTCCACGGGCTTTTGATGAGTCTTCGGAGAGGCGGTCCAGCCCTCCCAAGCATGAGCGTGGATTGAGAAGGCGGACTAGGGTTTCTCAGGTAGAAGGCGGGCACCTTGCAGAGGCCTTGCAGGCACGAGGGCTCCCAGCCTGGGGCTTGGACTTTTTCCAGCTAGTATGTTAGCTGTCGGGCAGTGGGCAGGAAGGTTCTAACTGCAGGCGGCCACGGGGTTCCCATGAAGAGTGGTTATGATGGACCGTGGAGCTGAGACGGGACTGGGGTGCTGAGGTCCCTACAAGGCAGTGGTCCAGAGAAGTCCGAACGTGGCTGTGAGGGGGCTCTGCCTTCAAGTTCTGGTAGTGACAAGGCTGCTGCGTGGCCATGGGGGTGGGTGGCAGAGAGAAGGAGGGCAAGAGCCCTGGAGATGGGCCACCACATCAACGGCTAGGGCCCAGCAGGGCTCGTGCAGCCCATGAGGGACGAGGATGGGAGCTGCGCTGGACTGGAGGGCAAGCCCCAGCAGACCCTCTACTATACGAGGGGACAACGGTGGTGATTCCAGTGAGGTCCTTCCATGGAAGCCTTGTCCCAACTCCCCTCTCACCCACTAAGGGGCAGCAAAGGCCAGGCAGCCAACCTCCACTGACCCCCGCCCATGTGCTGAGGGAGGGCTTCAGGCTGCTGGGGAGAGGGTGGCATCACTGCCAGCCCACACTGCCTTTGAGAGGCCATGCCAACCTAACTGGGGCATAGTTGGCCTTGGGCCACCTCAGTGCCCTCCTAGTCATGGCTTCCTAGGCCTGGCTGGATCCAGGATGAGTGGTCAAGGCCCAGTAGACCTGTACCATCTTCTTGCCTCCTGGTTGCAGCCCTGCCCCACCGCCCTCCCTGCACGCCTGATAGGAACAGAGCTGAGGCACCCAGCAGCTGCTTTGGTTTTTGTCCAGGGCAGTGGGGCTGTGGGGCCCTGGCCAAGTGCAGGCTCCACGGGTTAGCTGTGGCCCAGAGGACCGTGGGGGGTGTGGAGGTGCCCAGCGTGTGCTGGCTTATCTCCCAGATGAAGAATGTCAGAAGCAAGGGGTGGAGTACGTCCCTGCCTGCCTGGTGCACCGGAGGAGGAGGAGGGAGGACCAGATGGACGGTGACGGGCCTAGCCCGCGGGAAGCCTTCTGGGAGGCCACATCCAGTGATGAAGGGGGAGCTCCAAGTGATGACAGCATGACAGACCTGTACCCACGTAAGCAGAACGACCCCTGCCTCTCCCTGACCCTCTCCTGTCAGCAGGGAGCAGACCGTGGTGCGGCGTCCCCTGCAAAGAAGGTGGTGAACTCAGCCTAAAATAACCGTCAGCCAATCCCTGTGTTCCTCCCAGCTGAGCTATTCACCAGAAAGGACCTTGGAAGCACAGAGGACGCGGATGGCACTGATGACTTTTTGACAGAGGAACAGGATGAGAAGGCAAAGCCCCCAAGAGAGAAGGTCACTGATGAGGGCAGGAGAGAGACAGCCGTGTACCGAGGACTGGTCCAGAAGCGCGGGAAGGTGAGCTGTCACCTCTACTCTGTTAGTGTGGCAGTGGCTTCCTCTAGTGATGGTTTTCCATTTGTTTAAAAAAAGAAAACGGCCGGGCACGGTGGCTCAAGCCTGTAATCCCGGCACTTTGGGAGGCAGAGACGGGCGGATCACGAGGTCAGGAGATAGAGACCATCCTGGCTCACATAGTGAAACCCCATCTCTACTAAAAAATACAAAATACTAGCCCGGCGCGGTGGCGGGCGCCTGCAGTCCCAGCTACCCGGGAGGCTGAGGCAGGAGAATGGCGTAAACCCGGGAGGCGGAGCTTGCAGTGAGCCGAGATCCGGCCACTGCACTCCAGCCTGGGCGACACAGCGAGACTTCGTCTCAAAAAAAAAAAAAAAAGAAAACAAAACAACCTTTTTCACAAGTGAAATCCCAAGCCAACAACACACAAGGACTAGAAGCCGAGGCCGCTGGCTGGCGGAAGGCCATGAGTGGCTGCCATTGCTTCCCAGCCAGCCCCTTGTGGAAGCCAGGCTCCATGGACCATGGTCGAGACCAGTGGTTTGAGGACACCCTCCCACCTCAGACTATGAGCTGTGGCTTGTTTGTCCTTACTTCTGGGCACAGGGACCTGATTACTAGCCACCACCTTTGCCTTTGCCATCAGGGCAGGAGTAGAGACTTCCCCGCCTTTGGTAGATAAGCAGGACCAAGGCTAGAAGAGGTCAAGGTCCTAATTAGCGTGTGGCATTGCACCATGCTCCTCTAAGGCTCTGCTGAGCGCAGTCTAATCCTGCAGCTGTTAAGGAAACGGGGGCGGAGAAAGCCTCTGTGGGTATTTGACACCAACACCTCTGAGGCTGTACGGGTGGGAAATCCCTGCACTCCAGGGCCCCCTTCTCCATGGGATCAGAAGGGCTCAGTAATCAGAATTCTGTTTATCCCACAGAAGCAGTTGGGCTCGTTGAAAAAGAAGTTCAAGAGTCATCACTGCAAACCCAAGAGCTTCAGCTCCTGTAAACAGCCAGGTTAATAAAAGCCCATGGCGTGAAGTTTCAAGAAAGCCTTCAGATATTTCCCCCACTCCTCATCAAGCCGCATGTCCTCTGAATGATTGGCTGTCCCCATGTCTTCTCTTCCCACTTACCCTTGTCTCGTGACATCTGTTGCCCTCTAAGGCAGGGCTGAGGGGGTCTGTCCCCCACACCCAGGAAGCAGGAGGGACTCTGAGGGACTAATTCTCTCTGGACGTGGCTTCTGGGTGGTCTTCAGAGAAGCCTGGAGAAGCAGACTCACCCACTGGCATCCTGAGGGGAGCCCCAGTCAGGTTGGGCAACACTGTAGGATCACACTGCATACAACAAATGCCATTATTTATTTTGATGTGTTTCCAAAAATCAAAAACGTTTTCAAACACAACTAAGATATAAAATACAGCATAAAATGAGATTTAGATCTGTTTCCCACATAAAGCAAAAAAATCTTAGAAACTGTTTTGCCAAAACCAATTGGTAGATCCCACTTACCCTCTCCTCCCTGCAAAGGCATCTTCCCCAATCAGGCCCTAGCCCACCCAGGGCCAGGAGAAACAGGAACACCCACTAGGACGGAGGCGCTGCTGGTGCAGAACTGGTGCTGACTGCTCACGTGGCCTCCTTTGGTCCACCCTACTTTCCACCAACCAGCCAACCAACCTTGACCACAGAGAAACCCTGACTTGGCCAAGGTCATTTGATGGGGCTGTCATACGGCACTAATGGGGAGCAGGGTGTGGATCAAGAGACAGCCCTGGTGAGGCTGAAACAGTGAGAAGCCAGTCTTCGTGCAGTGAGCACTTGAATGATCACAGGAGAAAAGAACCCATGTCCTGAAGCCGTTGCTTAATCTTACCAATATTAGGGGGTAAGGAAGTAGGCCACCAGGGGAAGATTTGCAAACGCGTTGGGACTAGCTCGGCTGTGTTAAAAAGTGCCCCCTCCTCAGGGTAGGTGACTTCCAAAAGCACTTATGAGCAGAAACCTGCCTCACCGCTGCCCTGCAGAGCCAACGGACGAGAGGCCAAGCTGGAGGCAGGCTGGGGGCCGGGACGCAGCAGCCCTGGAGACAGGCTGAGCCAGCCTCTCCCCAGATAGGTCTAGGGGCCAGAGAGGTGTTCGACCATCCTTGTGGCATTTACTATGGTGCAGACGACAGGGAGCAACAAGCAGTTAAACCCCCCAAAAAGAGAAACACAGTATAAGGCAGTGTTAGAAAACTTTAAATACAGGATTAAGATCAAATCGGTAAGGCATCACAAATTGTAAAAAGGAATTTTGGCTGCATTCGGCATAGCAAACGGACAATCTGAGTGAGCAACAGCCTCGGGAAAGTGGCGTGTCGGGCTGCCCACAGGGCGAGTGCAGCTGGGAAAGGAGGATGCTGCTCAGCCAGGGTGGCCTGCGCTTTCGAGACCTTGCTCAGAAAAGGCCCCATGTGAGGTAACTGGATTGAGTCCGTGGGTCTCCAGTGCTGGGAGCTCCCGCCACACCCCCTGCCCACAGCGGCTGCAGCTCCCCAAGCTGGTCCGAGGAGCAGCTGGCCAGGCTGGCTTGCGGGGTGCCGCTGCTGGGGCCACCCCGTGTGTGGTCTCACTAGCCCTCCCCACTGCCAGCTCTGAGGCCAGCAGCACCCAGACCAGCAGCTTCCCCAAGGACTCCTTTGCCCCTCGGCCTTGCCTCAAGCTACTAAAACTCCCAAGGTGTTACCCAATAAAACACTTGGCACCAATCCAAGCTGATTTTATGACCGATGACTTTTATCATAAACAGCAGCTTCCACCACCCCTTTAATACTGCATCATTCTTTGGGTGTCCCTAAATGTTTTCACTGTTCCTATAAACTACTACAGTACGGGGCAGAAACAACATTGAAGCCACTGGTGTGATTTTAAACCAGGGAGATTTAACCGTTTGAGGTTTGGCTGAACCACCCAAAATCATGTAGTAGTTTTCGCTAAAAAGGTAAACTTAAAAATAAGAGGGAGGTTGCTCTGAATGGTGACACCAATGTGTCTGCTCGCAGCACAGCCTGAAGGCCCTCCTGCACCCCACAAAACAAACTCAAAAATAGGACTGAGATGCCACAGCCAAGTGGGCTGTTCACTCCAAAGCCTTGGCATGGGGGAGGCCTCCAACTGCCAGGCTGGCCAGCACTGAGGGGTCAAACGCCAGACTGTGGCTCCAGAGCAGACCGAGCCATGAATTCTCAGGTGTCTCTGCAAATAAAGTTCTCAAAACATCTGTGCCTTTACCAAGGGAGGGGAAGGGAAGAGGATACATAAAAGCTGGCAGTTTTGTTGACTCCACCCCAAACCAGTCCTCGACGGCCACGGGTCTTAGCCAGGCAGGTAGGGATCTGTGACTGTTACCACTCCTTCTTCTTCTCATCCATGGAGACACCCCCAGGGCCCAGCGCCACCACCAGGAGCAAGCCCCCGATCACCGACATGGTCTGGAAGAAGTCGTATTTCAGGAAGTCATGCATGGGCTTGTAGACTGGAATGGTCCAGAAGGCGTTGAAATATACGTTGATGGCAAAGAGCCAGACAACAAGAGTCAAAGCAGCCAGCTTGGTTTTAAACCCAATGGCCACTAAAATCATCAGAGCTGTGCCCACGATGTTCTGGACAATCTGCATAGGTTGAAACATAAGAAATTCAAAATAAACATGAGGAAAAGAGATGCTTTATAAACAGAAGTTCCAGCTGCTGCATATCATGAAGTCTCTATCCATCAGGCTGATGTAGCTACTGCTGAGACGGCTGCTGGTACAAGAGGGGAGATAAAAGCTGGGAGGAGGCAGGAGACAATAAAGCACCAGCTTTGAAATGTGGAAGGTTTGGGGAAGATTGAAGTTCCCAACTAGTAAAAGGCTGTGATTTACCAAGATGAATCTCTAATCCATAACTAAATTCCCAAGTGCTTCTTGGCCTACCCAGCCATCCAGGCCAGAAACATCCTCTCTCTTCTCCCCATGGCACCAGGAGCTCTTCCTGGACACTGTCTAGCCAGGGCTCTCAGTCAGCTCCAGAGATGGGCTCTGGAAGCTCCTGGAGGCTGCCTCTGACACCTGACACACAGGAAGTACTTGAGAAAGATATGAACAGGGAGGACAGAGAGAAGAGTAAGGGGAGCCTGGGTGGAGAGCCTTGGCCCTACCAAGGGCCAAGCACACTCCACCAGGGTCAGAGGTTCTGGCCTTCACTTGCTGGAAGGAAGGCTTGACACACAAGAGATTGACGATGTTTTGGTCTGTTTTAATGGGATCAAAAAGTTTGCTCCATTTGAGCAGCTCCCCCAGGTTGTGGTTAGTACCCAACCAGGGAGAGGTGAGCAGGGAGGGGGTGGGGGAGGGACAGCATTCTCTCTAAAGGACAGGAAACCAGACCCATTCAGGCAAGTAGGAATACTTACAGAAAAGAAGCTGGCGTCAAAGTGAAGAAGGGTCATGAACATCAGAACCAGCAAGACCCTGCCTCCAAGCTGCATGTACTGTTTGGGGGAGCTCTCACGCATGGTGGGGACGCCCGCAAACATGCTCTTCCCTTCAGAACGGGATTCTGCTAGGAGCAGCAACAGGCCTCCTCCCAGGGCCAGGTTCCTGAGGAACAGATATGTGGGCTGGAAGCTAAGCCTCGCCAGGATCTGGCCTGTCTGTGAGACCAGGTGCAGGGAGAACTTGCTGCCAGTATAGGAAGGCCCTTACTTCCCTTTCTCCAGACCCAGTGATCTGCCAAGCAGGACCAGGCAGGCATGCGCACAGGACCTCAGACTCAAGTTACACCCATGTAAAACCTTACATAGTTCCATACATAGCTGAAGAGACAGAGATGTCTTTACAACTCGACAGCAATAGGCTACCTGAACACACACAGAACCGAGTCCTAGTCACAGCTTCAGTGTTGACCAGCTGGGTCCCCGTGGGCAGGCCTGTCCTCCACTCAGACCCTGAGTCCCCATACCCGTGAAATAAGGGGTCAGAAGAGATGGTTTCAGTGTCTACTGTTATAGGGGCTCTGCAACATCCTCTTTAGAACCTGTTTCTAAGAGGCGGAATTTATACCAGGGGGTCCAATCTTTTGGCTTCCCTGGGCTACACTGGAAGAACTGTCTTGGCCACACATAAAACACACTAATGCTAATGATAGCTGATGAGCTAAAAAACAAAACTTAAAAATTGCAAAAAAGCTGTCAATGTTTTAAGGAAGTTTATGAGTTTGTGTTGGGCCGCATTCACGCCGTGGACCACCGGCTGGACAAGCTTGGTTTGGACCCAAAGAAGTCTACTCCAACCAATAGTTAACTGAGTTTAGAAATACAGAGGGCCGGGCGCGGTGGCTCAAGCCTGTAATCCCAGCACTTTGGGAGGCCGAGACGGGCGGATCACGAGGTCAGCAGATCGAGACCATCCTGGCTAACACGGTGAAACCCCGTCTCTACTAAAAAAAAAAATACAAAAAACTAGCCGGGTGAGGTGGCGGGCGCCTGTAGTTCCAGCTACTCGGGAGGCTGAGGCAGGAGAATGGCGTCAACCCGGGAGGCGGAGCTTGCAGTGAGCTGAGATCCGGCCACTGCACTCCAGACCGGGCGACAGAGCGAGACTCCGTCTCAAAAAAAAAAAAAAAAAAAAAAAAAGAAGAAATACAGAGTGAGTATCCCTAACCTGAAATGCTTGGGACCCAAAGTGTTTCAGATTTTGGTATATTTGCATTATATACTTATCGGCTGAGCATCCTAAATCTGAAAATCCAAAACCTGAAACGTTCCAATGAGCACTTCCTTTGAGTGTCATGTTGGTGCCCAAGATGTTTCCCATTTTGGAGCATTTCAGACTTTGGATTCGCAATGCTCAACCTGTATGAGCAGCGTATACTAAAACCAACTAAAACCAACCAGAATGCACATACCTCATCAAAAACTTCAAGTCCCATAAAATGCTGTAGGCAATCGTCTGAGGGAAAAGAAGAGAGAGACACTTGAGTCTCGGCCTTTCCAAAGGCATTTCCACAGACTTCATAATACATT